GTTTGTCTTAATGTACTGCTAGTGCTACCATCATCAGGAGTTAATCTGATACTGTATACAAAGAATCCTTTAGCTTCTTCTAGTGTCACTGGATCCCATGATAACACTATTGTATCTCCTATTCTCATTGCTTGTACATTTGATGGTGATACTGTAATGCTACCTGCACATAAAATGACATGTGCATTTATCTTTAAATACTAAATATCTTACTGTCAGATTTAGTGAAAACAATAGCAGTAGCTAAATTTCCTTCACCAACTTGATTGACTGCTACAACTGATACATAATAAGGTATCCTTGTCTCTGTAAAATGATCATAAAAATATGATATGTAAGCATGAGATACTAACTTAATCCTCCAAATATTAGTGAATATGATGCTCTGCCAGTCACAAATGGAACATTATTAGGGCTAGTAATAGCATCAGTAGCTATTCTAACAATAAATCCAGTGATTTCTCCATTAGGATGAGATGGTGGACTCCATGTTATATTGATAGTAGTTTCATTGAGAACTGCTACAGTATAAGCTACTGTTAAACTATTAATGACAACTGGAGACACTACCAGATGAGGTGAACTAGGACCTGTGTATTGTATTTTAATAAACAAATCATAATAATATACTTACTGTCTGGTAGTGTTCTTCCTGCAGTAATAGCCACTGGTCCAGCTCCAATGATTGTACTAGCACTAACACTAGCAGTGTAATTCTGATATGGACTGAAACCAACAACTAATTTTGTCACTGTAGTTTGATTGACAGATACAATTATTGTATAGTTATGTATTGTCATTGTATTTAAGTTGATAACAGCTAGAGTATATTTGATGATTATTCCATTAGGAGTAGCTGGCCTAGTCCATGTAAAAGTAATTGCAGTTTTATCAGGTATTGAAGTGAAATTCTGAGGACTATCACTTGGTTCTAATAGAAGTGTAACAAAGAAATTAAACTGAAATGAATGCAAGATTATAATTTCACTAGTTTTGCATCAACTTCATAACATTTTGAGGCAACGCCTATGCCATTTTGATTGTTTCATCAAATTTACACGTAAACCTATCTTTACTAATGTAATTTGCAAACACTAGTAAAAAGCTTACTACATTCACTTCACTTGTATTAATACCAATTGTATACTTACCATTTTCAGCTGTTTTAAAAGTACACTGGGTAGGGGGTCCTTCTCCTACTACATTAATAAATGACAGAGAACAAGTGTAACCAGTAAAAGGCATAACATCAGTAATAGTGAACATTGTGTTTGTTGAAGATTGTGTTGGGCTCAATCCATTGACTGATACACCATTAGTATTTATACATGTTAAATTATAACCAACTGGTGCTCCATTTTGATCTATTAGTGCTGGTGCAGTCCAGGTAAGTGTGACATTACGTGGTAAGAATGTTATATTAGCACAATTCATTGGATCCCCCACTGGCACTGTACAGAAAGAGAAATATGAAAAGAAGACAAATATAAAAATGGAGAAACAAAGGGATTATGGACAGCATCATTGAATAAGGTAAAGACAGAGGAAGGAGAGAAGAAAAGAAAGGAAACAAAAGAGCATAAACACATTCACTTACATGTTGGAATTGTTCTGAAGCTCATCTCTACAGTACTAGTAGTACCAAGACAATTTGTAGAATCAACTGTATATGTATAAGTGTTATCTTCCTCAAGGCCAGTCAACATGATTGTAAATTCTTGGTTAATTGCAGTGATGTCACCAGAGCTCATTCTTATGCTAGAAGTTGCTTGTGTTGTTTGTAAGATTGCTCCTGTATACTTAACACTGTAGGTTTCAGGTGTATAGGCAATGTTAGGTATTATGAATGATATAGCAGCAGTAGTTGTTCCTGGAGTAGCTGTTACATTAGTAGCAGGAACTGGTAGGCTCTGAGCTAAAGAAAAAAGAGATTGAGGTGAAAGGAGAGAAATCTAGCATCTATATACTTACAAGTTATAGTCACAGTACTTTCCTCACTAGTAGTGATATCAGTTGAATCAGGTACAGTAATACTAGCAGTACATCTATAAGTACCAGAATCAGAAGCAGTACTGGAGTCAAAACTCAATGTATTAGTAACAGTGGTAGTCATATTCCCTCCAGTAGTAGTCACAGTACCAGTTTCTATTGTACCATTATGTGTCCATGCTATTACCAGGTTTGGTATTACTATGGTTGGTTTAGTGGCTGTACAGGTAAGAGTGAAGTTATCATATGGGTCTGAATCAGAACATGATGTCTCCAGACCCAGGAATGAGTCAGGGGAGGCAGAAAAACTTCCAATCGTTGGATCTAACAAAAAAATAATCATTTATAATTATCATCATTTGTATTAATCAAATATAAAGTACATGTCAATGATGATTGAGCAAAATTTTTGGCCATCAAAATGTTTAAAAATAAAAGTAGCCATTTCATAGTCTATACAAGGTCTTTGATAAATATGAACGTTAAGAATTGGAATTGGCTCAAACTGTTGACACAGTACAAAGGTTCACTACACATCCAAATACAGAATAAAATTATATTACTAGTACAATATTGTACACTACATTAATGCATATACATACATGTACAAAACATGCACATAAATACTTACCAGTAACAGTGAAGTTAACATTCATATAATTAGTATCAGAAGTCATTACATATTCATAAGCTGGAGCTGGTACTATAGTAACAATACATGTATATGTTCCAGAATCCTCAATACTGCTCAATGTAGTGAAATTAAGTGTTGATCTATACTCATTGAAACCTGATCTCACCATAACAGAACTGATATTAATGCGATCTGTATCAACAAGCCTCATTGAATTAGGACCAGTCATGGTCCAGGTTACGTTAACAGTGAATGGTGTATCAACATTAGGATCAACACTGATATCACATGTTAATATCAGGTTACTGCCAGCTAAGAAATAGTTCTCTCTTGATCGACTCACATCAACAGATGGAATGGGAACTGAGATAAAATAAATTGAAAACAATTATTTAAAGGAATAAGTACACAATGTAGCTAAAAGGAACTGGTGTACTTAATAGTTAATACAATAACAAAAAGTACACACAAAAATAAAACATAATTGCGTTCAAAAAATTTAATCCATAACATATACATATACATGTAATAATATCTGCTCAATACAAATCATAATTGTAAGTACATACTGCATGCATGATAAAATATTAATTACTATTAACATTGTACTTACTTTCTAATGGTAAGTTTGATGTGTCATTATTCCCTGTTACCATAGATATCTGACTAACATTAATGGAGGCTTCACAAGTATACAGACCAGCATCAGAAGTATTGAGAGAAGAGAATCTCAAATAAAGAGAACTCATTACATTAGATACAGTCATAAGAACTGGAGGTACACTAATAACATTGTTAGCTGATCTCTTAGTCCATGTTATCACTGGTGAGACTATGAGTCTATCAACAACTGTCACTGTACAATTTAACATGTATTCTTCACCAGGTTCAGCCATGCCCATAGTTACTATCTCTACCACTGGCTCTGGAGTAGCTGAGAAAAGAAGTCAAAAAGTAATTGACAATAAAGTGACATTCCACCAAAATTTTTCAGAAAAAAACTTTCAGCAAAAAATGTACAATACTAGTATAGTAATGTTTCAAAGCCAAAGCCCAAAGAATAATAATATATAATAGCAGGTACTTATAGACCAGTTGGGGCTAAGCATATTCATAGAATTTTGAGTATATTCATTGTGATACCGTAAATAAAGTAAAATTTTCCCGCCGCCATGTCGGAGTCTTAGTTACTAAGAGTAGAATGGGAGAAAGTAATATCTTTGCTTCTATATCTTCTAGTGGCACTTATTAAAGTCCATGAGCCAACTATAGACACTGGAT